TTATAGTTAGAGACTATATGATATAGATTGCTAAATGAACTTATAGTTTATATATAATATGCTTAATAACTCAATATTGTTAGTTAGGATCTCGAACAGTATACAATTAGTAACATTTTAATAAAGGCAAATATTTTTTAAAAAATTGACATAGATTACAGCAATTTAAATGTAGCTAGGTATCTAAAGAAGGGGAGGAATGTAGTATATTAGCATAATATGTATGTTAATCCTTTGTAAATATGTTAATTACTAATCGGTATATAAGCTAGACTTATGCAATAATAAAGGCTTCTTTTACAATACTGATTATATTGTGCTTGCACTGATTATATTGTGCACATCTAACAGTCAATCACTTTCGATAAAACCTTGACACACTTTGACCTTGTTAACGTTATTATTACCGTCACTTGCAACTAACTATTAACGGTCTCTTATAAAAACATTGCCTGTTCGCATGTTTCTGCTGGAGTATGCACCGTTGGCTAATGCGTGTGAGAATCTTAAGTTTTCTTGTTTTGACATATTAGCCATTTTTCAATAAATATATTGATATTAAACTTATTGAATCAATATTTTAAGTTTCACACCAGTTGTACCAAAGGTTATAAGCACTATAGCACATCATAAGTTTCAGCAACCTGATACTCAGGGTTTTCACTTATAGCGGAAGTAAAAACCCTGAGTATCAGGTTGAAGTTTCAGATAGCCTGAATACAGACTTTCGTTTTGCTTGCCCTAAAATTTGCGGGTGGGAGGCGCAAAACGAAGGTCTGATCACTCTGATGAAAATTATGTCAAAATGCTCTACTGCTCACTTTGCATTTTGCAATAATTAACAACAACGAAAGTTGTCGATTCACTTTATTGAAAGTTTGTAAACAAAGTAAGAGTCGATATTACAGATGTTTGAATAAATATTAAAAATATTCGTAACCCCATGCAGTGTGTTGCTTTTATGTACTTATAACCCTTGCACTCAAACAGTTACAGCTAGTAATAATACAACATTTTCAACACATTCTATAAATGCAATAAAATCTGCATACGCAAATTTGGCAATGGCCATGTCCCATTGTTGAATTGCATCCAAACAGGACCGAGCTCTTACAATTTATACATTTTGAAACCGCTATACAATGCTAAAATCTAAATAAAATATTTTGTACATGCTATGTTATCGAAACGCAAATTTAAACGTACTATTGCACTGACACATAGGCCTATGTGTATAATTGTATCAGTTTTATTATGATTATCACAAAACGTAAATAGTGTAAAAATTATTGTATTATAGGCCTATATTACAATGGAATGACACAACGCTGAAGTATTTGACAAGTCTGCCCAACTCTCGCTCTAGTTTTAATTTTAGACGGTAGATACTGTTAGCTATTTGTCGTTCGGCTTCACAAAATATTTAGAATATTACATTGTATGCATAGTATATGCGTTGAGAATACCGTTGAAATATATTCTGATCTTTTCAAATCTTTTCATGTTTAGCGACCAACCAATCACAAGCCATTTCCCTGTGAATTAGCCACAGGGTGGTCGGATTTCACAGCGTTTTGACATGATTTTCATCAGACCTTCGTTTTGTGCCTCCCACCCGTGAATTTTAGGATGAGCAAAATGGTCTGTATTCAGGCTAAGTTTCAGATGGCACACAACATGTACGCACTGTGTACCTATTTTTTGTATCTTTCAAAGTGCTGCATTAACCCTACGCTTTGGAATCTGTGCAATCATTCCCTGAATGGCATGGAACAAATCTAATTTTACTATGCAGTTCTCACCAAAAATGTTTTTTAATTTTGCCTGAAGAGAACCAACAGTTATCTATAATAATTCCTTCAATTGCTTTGCCATTAGAAGTCAATTAATTGGGCATTTAAAGCACGAAGCAAGCAAGCAACATTATCTATAACTGTGCCATTGGTAAATTGCCATGATAATATGTCACTGTTTTCATTCATAACAATAAACAGGGAATCATACAGTTTGTTCCATTTCCCATATTTCCAATAGCCAATATTAGCTCTTACCATGATAATTAATCATGAACCATTTAACATTCATAAATTATGACAAGCTGCTATCTTTTGGCAGATAGCAAATTATATGATAACAATTAGATGATTGATAACAAATACTGAATTACATTGTTGATAGTTGCTGCTTCTAGCAACACACATGTGCCTTGTGGGTGACTTCTGCCATAAACATCTCTTGAATGAGAGTCAAAAATTTTATAATTGCCATCATTAGTGGAAAATATACAAACAGCATTGCAGTCAATTGTTAAGATAAATGCATGATGGTTTTCAGCCAGTAGCAGTTCAAATGCTCTGTTAAATGGCACACAGTACTGGTACCCTTCAATACAACTGTCACCAATGACTTTACCACTATAGCTCTCACTGTACTCCAGACCTTCCAACTCTCACGGTTTGGCCGTGAGACTCACGGTTTAAGGTCTCATCTCACAGTCTCACGGTTTAGCCTCTAAATCTCACGGTTTTTCACAACCTAAAATGAAATCGAATTTATGTGTTCAGTCTGTCTTTATCACCGTTTTCATTTCAGTTCGATCAACTTGACTTATAAATTTTAAGTATAATAGTCTATAGATAATAGTAAAACTTTTGTTGCTCATAATACGCGTTATCTAGCGCATTGATAATCGAGTATCCACGTGTGTGTTCGCGCACGAATGTGTGATAGCATGCCACATGTTCAAGATGGCGGATGACAGTTACAGTGTATTGCTTGTGATGTTACTCTGAGTATATATCCACACCGGGCAAGCTTGAAAAATGTGCCTGACCACGGTGGGAATTGAACCTATGACCTTTGGAATACTAGCCCAAGAGTAACATCACAAACATATTCACCTGAGTACATTACACCAACACAGAAAAATCATAGTTACAGTGTAGATAATTTTCTGACATTGATTGCATTTGTTTAGCTATATTTAGCATCTGTTTAGACTTAGTTTTAGCACTTCTTCGTTTTCAAAAAAATTGAAAATCTCAAGGTTTGGGACCCAAATCTCAAGGTTTCTTCAAGTAAATTATTGGGATCTCAAGGTTTGGGTGTTTCAGATGTTGGAAGGTCTGGTACTCAAGAATATAGTCTGTGTCAAAAACAGTTAGTTCAGTAGGCAATTCTGAAAACATGATTGTCCAGATAATTGTGACAAGTATGAATATAGTTCATTACCAATATTCATTATTTGAACCAGATCTTGCTGTGAGTTTATGCTTTAATTCTTTTGGCATATACAAGAGCACTCAGACACATTGCCAAACATTGTTGTCCTGCTGTTTCACCAAATACATATAGATTTCCCTGGCTATATGGTGCACTAATTGTCTTGCCAGGATCAATATAGCTTGCTATATAGCTTCTGGGTCCAGGATTTGTCTCGATGTCTGTGCATAATGCAGTTTGACACACATTCTTAATGTGGTTAACATCTGTGTCCAGCATGTAAACCACTGCATGATATATTAAAGAATATGTCTGCAAGAATTCCATGAGCAATATAATGTTTTGTTGAGAATTTTATATGGAACCTTTTGTCTATTCTATTGACTTTGACATAGGGCAGTAAACATCAGGAATGCACCTTGTCCTTTTCAGTTTGCATAAATTCTTTATTACAACATGAAGTTGAGAGGACTTAGGTACAGATTTCGTTATGCTATTGTTAAGCCTTTTTCGTACATCTGATAATCGACGTTTTTAAATATATGAGTCAACTGTTTTACTGAAATTCTACTTGGTTCACGGTCACGATGACGAACCTGACAACCAGTATTAAATTCAGTCTTACTGTGTAAATAAAATAAAAAATGTTGTGATCTTAAAGCAGTTCCTTTCATCAAATGCAAAGCTTTGAGCTTTGACAGGTGTATTTGCTTCTTCTCAGCGGTTTTATTATTTATAGTATAAATATGGGTTTTAATGGGTATACCTGCTGCACTGCCTGCACATTGATATTTTAACACATTCTTGTTTTGCATGTTGACTGAATTTTCCTCAAAAAACATTGGTGATGCTACTCGAATTCTAACATTTTTGTCAGCCATGTTGAGCACATGGTCATCGAGATCACAACATGTATGGCTCGTTTGCTTTTCATTTGCAAATGAAGTGCAGGTATTTAAGTTAAAATTTAAGTCAGAATTCGTGTTATATTTTGAGCAATCGTTAATGCAACTTTTATGGGCAATATTTTATGGCATCGTTATCGTACCCGAAGGTATTTTTTGATTCATGGATCATCGGCCCGGTTCGAAATCGCTCAACATCTTTTGGTGTAGGCCTACCATGAATATGTGCGGAGTCATGCGAGGTGAGCGTATTTGAAAATAAGAAACAACTAACATTGGTTATATTGCTTACCGATAACATTGTCTTGAGAAATTGACGATCAACGATGTTACTTTTTCTGTGTTGAAACTTGATGAAAAGTTGAAAACAGTAGTGACCTTAAATCACACATGTCATGTGAATGCCACTGCTTCCATATCACATTCTCCTTTTCCTTTTTATTATTAGAATATTTAATTATGGTTCTGTAACCAGTGAGATCATGGGACAACATACGAAAAATAATGATTGTCAAGAATGGTTTTGATATTTTTATGTTTTTGTTATGTTTTTGATTCAAAAACATGTTTGTCATGTTTTTTAATGACAGCACTGGTTTTTGTAACCAGTACTGTCAGACAGCTCCCGGTGGGCAAATAGGTAAGTTTTTATACACAATAGTAGATACAAGTCTACTGTTGACTTGTGAATTGGTAGCTCGAAGTGTTTGATTTGTAGTTGCTTTCATAAAAAAATATTACATTGTATATATTATTTACATACAAATAATTCCTGTAACTCAAACAGCCATTTTTGGCCAAATATCCTTCGAGGCCCCCACTCCCAAGTTCTTAACCCGCGAACAGGCAAACTCTGGGTACGAGATTGCTTTCGAAGACCTTCGAAGTGGAAACACTATTATATCATGGATATTTAAAAATATTATTTTCCATGATTATATTATTATTTATTTTATTATCCATGATTATATTAGGGCAACGTTTTGATCAGGGGAGGATTAACCCCGGAGCCCGCCAAAATCCTGCCCGCTGCAAATCAGGCCCCCCCCATAAATTTGAGGGCCTGCCACGCAGGCTATGATTCATGTGACTCGTTAGTGACATTCAAATGACGTTTTCATGAGAGTAAATTTCATCGCCTTGTGTTAGCATGGCGTCTTCTTCCTCAAGTGGGAATTATTCAAATGATTTGTCTACATACAAGGATGTACAAGGCTATGTCCATAGTGTTTCTGATGTTAAAGTACCTGCAAACTCAAAATCAAGCAGGTACTTCGATTTCAAGATGCAGCAAGGAGATGAAGAAACAAGAGTTGTCTGTTTTAATGCCGAATATCAAGGCCAATTAAGACAGAAAGAGCAATCGAAGAGTCCATGCCGTCTTACAAATGTGAGTCCCCAGAAACGACATTAGAGCGAAGGAACGGAGTTTAAAATGAACAAGTTCTCCAGAATCGAGACGCCAAAGAATATACTGTTCCTGTGGAAGGAGGCATCAGATTTACAAGTTACTACCATAAAAGAAGTCCTTGAGAACAAGATCAATGGCAACATTGTTACACTTAAGGCCCGCATGGTAACCAAATCAAATGTGCAAACGGTGTTTTCTCGTAATATGCAAAAAGATTTGAGAAAATGTGATGTAGTCATCGCTGACGAATCTGGAACCATCTCGGTCACAATTTGGGAAGACGTGATAGACCAGGTCCAACCAGACTGCAGCTACCACTTTCAAAGCTGGAAAGTCAGCTTCTTCAACAACAAGTATCACAACGCAACCAAAGATACAAAGATTGGGGCGTGTGATAGTGTCGACCTTTGTCCGGATGCAATTGAAATAGCAAGGAAACTAAACGTGAGCGAGTCCGTCGACAACCTCGTGGATGTTAGTGGAAACATCGTGGGTATTGACGTTGATAGATATTATATGTGCATAAATTGTAAAGGACGCGTAGAAGATCTGCCCAACCAAACGATTCTCAAATGTTTGAAGTGCCGTTTAAGCATAAAAAAGAGCGCCATTTCGTGTAATACAAGTGATCCTGCAGAACAACACTGGTGAAAGCATCGGTCATTATTTTTGCCAACATGCTACACTTAGCTCTTTCTTTTCAACCTTATCCACCATGGAAGGATACAACATCAATGAAAAGGACGTTGTGGGAAGCTTTCGATCGAAATGATTGAGGAGATGCTTCTGAACCATGAACATTTAACCTTTGAAGTTCTCATAGAAAAAAGGCTCATCAAGTTGATGAGAATAGGACAATGAAACTATGAAAGAAAAACTTATATGTGTCACAGGTATCAGAACCTTTAAGGTCTAGGAAGTTTCCTTTTGAGTTTTGTTTTGTTAAAGTTGTATTACTTTTGAGTTTTGTTTTGTTAAACTAGATGTTCTCTTGCAGTAACATTACTGCAATATTGCAACCAACATTTCACTGTTGATTTGCAAAGTGCCCAAACAAATTGGTACAGTATATTTATCGAATTTATACAAAAATTACAATATTTCATCCCAAATACCTTGAAAATATAAAATAATTTTCTGACATCAAGTTTTCCCCAAATCTTGTATTTGTTCTTTTCTAACAAATACAAAATAACACACCACTAACCAGTTGAGACCTCCTACGTGGCAACAACTAGCAAATCAATGTTGTAATGTTGCTTGGAAGAGAACTTCAGTGGCAGACTCTTGAAGGGGGCTAATGCCCTAATTTCATATTAAACCATTTGAACGACACCCAAAATTTGATCAAAAATTGAACTGAACAAACACTTTAAATTCTCAAAGATTTTTAAAAGATATACTCATTTCTAGACCAATTGTTAGTTAGCGTGGCATAAGATCTGGCATTTATCATTTATTTGTTGAGTAACTGATTGTAACAATGTTTTCAAATGTAAACACCAACAGACACCAGCAGGTATTTATACATGAAAACATTGTTACAAGTCACTAACTGAACAAATAAATAATAAATGCCACATTGTTTGCCATGGTAACTAACAATTGGTCCAGCAACAAGCACTTTAAAACCCTTTGAGAATTTAAAAAATGTTTGGCCCTAATATTTATTTATTAAATCTCAAAAGCCCCTATTATCTATGTGAAGAGAAGGATGACAGTATGTTTTCAACATTATTGGCACCTCCAATATTTTGTGAAGTGTCTGCCACTGGTTTTAAAGATGTTGTACGTTACTGTTATGCCATCTTTTAAAATTTTTGAAAATAACTTTATGTAGATCCTGAGATAATGGTCACATGTTGGATGTTTTACCAGCAAATTACATTTTTAGCAACCAAATGCTCAATTTTGGTCACACATTTATCAATCTTTCAAAGATTAGGTTAACTATTACTGTGTGTAATTAACATAAAGTGTTATTTTAATTTATCAGACAGAGGGCAGGAGTCAAAATGAAATCAGAAACAATGTCTGATCAAGTTTGAAACTTTCTGACCAAAGTTCATTGTGGACAGGATTCTGACAATTTTGACTGCTATTTCAGGTTATGTTCAATGAACTGTATGTGTTGAAGGCCAATTCCAGTTCAAAAGTGAGGACAAAATGATGACTGTGAGCAAATTTTTGGGTGTCCATTTCATGCCCCCCCCCCCCCAACACAGTCACCATAGTTTATGGTGAAAAGCAGTATGGGAACCATGAATCTAGGACTGAAACTCGCACCCAAGAATTCTGTCACAAGCCATAATTTTTTGTTTCACTTTTTGAGCTGCGGTTCAGATGTACTGTGTGTGCCAAAACAACTGAACCCATTTTAAGAAGTCAATTATGTATTCTTTTCAAATTCCTAGCTGTTTTGAAATACATAATTTTAATTCAGCCTTTTTAAAACAATGCCTAATTGACCTTTATAATTTAATAGGGTTCCATTTTTTTGGGACACTGTACAGTTCAGAGGTTCTTTTATGAACATTGTGTAAATTAGTTCATGTTTGTTCAAGGGCTTGCAAAAGAAACTGGTAGAACTTACTAAAATCTTTAAGAACTTTACATAACTTTGTGGATTATTAGTTGTTATCTTGGGTGAAATGATGTACCTATCAATGTCTTCCCCCAATATGGGGAATATGTGCAGGCATACCCATGGGGTAATTTAAGTCGACATTCTCCAGTAAGAGCAGTATGGAACTGTCAATCCTGTATGGAACTGTCGGATACCCTGGGTCAAAAAACTCGCTATGCTATATTGATACTTTATTAAATTAATTTAAAAGACGTTACAACATACATTACTATCTGCTAATAGCTTAGCTAACCGAGGCAGAGAGTAAATTAACACTCCTGTATATATTATATATTTACATGCTCATGATTAATATTTAGAGAAAAAAAAAGAAAAAGTTGTGGATAATATATATAAGCAACCAATTCGATTCTGATGTATGGGAAATAGTTAAAACCAAAATAAATAGGAAAGCTACACACAAGACAATTTCATTGTTTAGCCATCAATTGTATTAACGTAGGCACACCAACATAATCGTCCTCAAGTTTTAGTATAGTTAAGAGCGTTTTATGTATTGTTTTAGTAAACTTATTTTTTCCAAATTCACGTACATTGTCAGAAATATTATTCCATATTTTTGCTCCGAGTTTTACAAAAGATTCATTATGTTTGTTTAGTCTTGAGTATTGAATGTAAAAATTGTTAGCTGTGCAATGTCTAGTGTTATGGGTGTGCATATGTCTTGCCTGGATAAAACAATCAGAAATTGCAGACGGGCAAGAACTATTAGAGACATCATACATTAAGTTACACACAGTTTTATAATATAGCATATTTAAAGGAAGGATATTTAAATTACTAAAGATTCATTATGTTTGTTTAATCTTGAGTATTGAATGAAAAAATTGTTAGCTGTGCAATGTCTAGTGTTATGGGTGTGCATATGTCTTGCCTGGATAAAACAATCAGAAATTGCAGAAGGGCAAGAACTATTAGAGACATCATACATTAAGTTACACACAGTTTTATAATACTAAACAACGGGATGGCATGTTCTTTATTATTTTTAAAATTAATCAGGTGCAAAGCCCGTTTTTGGAGAATAAGAATCTTATTTAAATAAACATTTGATGCCTGTCCCCATACAATTATACCATAGGTTATATATGGCAGTATTAAACATTGATATATGCTAAGTAAGGTTGAAAGAGGCACAAAATGTATAAGCCTTGTAATTATTCCGATGGATTTACTTATCTTAGATGAAATGTTGTCTATATGATACTTCCAGGTAAGGCTACTATCAATTATTACCCCCAGATATTTGATAAATTCTTTGCACTCAATCTCAGTTAGTTTGTTTGTGTTGTTGTTAAATATTTTTATGCTGACTTGGGTCAGACTAGTGACTTTTAGTATATTTCTAAAAATACTTTTGGAATAACAATTTCAACCACAGCAGATTGGTCAAGTTATAACTTGAGTGAGAAACCATTGTCAATTCTGTGTGTGTGTGTGTGTGTGTGTGTGTATGCCCACACTCCCCCACTGTAGGAAGACATTGATTCGTATATGAATTTAAATAACTTTAAAGTGTCAGTGTTTTTTTTAATACATGGGTGATGGGATATAATGTGTAACTGGATCTCATATTTATATTCTCTTATGTAGATGAATACACAATTATGTCAATTATGTCTTATATTTGTATAAATAGACAAATTTGGCTAATGTTTACACTTTACAGTAATATATTGCTACCCAATACACCATTTGAATAATTACATCATTTGGCCTGAGAGCCTTGCTGTCATAAATATTGAGCCAATCACCTACTGTAATTTACTAATGAGAGTAAGGCTCCAAGACCAAAATGTATGTGTGACATAATTATTGAAAGGGTGTATTGAATTCACATGTTTAGATAACTCACATGCCTTATGCACCAGTCATTGTAAACCCAGGATTTAGGGGGAAAGTGGTCAGTTTTGGTTGTAAATATATCCCCGATGATGGGGGACTTGGATATGCAAGCCATTTGTAGCAATATTCAATAACTGTATTTATTGTATTCAGTTCTTAAAATACGCACACAAACGTCAACAATTTATTGTTCAATCAAACATTCAATGTTCAATGAAACATTCAATATTCAATGAAACATTCAATGTTCAATGAAATATTCAATGTTCAATGAAATATTCAATGTTCAATCAAACATTCAATGTTCAATCAAACATTCAATGTTCAATCATGACACATTCAATGTTCAATCATGACACATTCAATGTTCAATGAAACATTCAATGTTCAATCATGACAAACCAGTTTATTCGATGCATGTGTCCAAATATGGGAGGCCTGGGTCGAGCATAGGAGTTTTCCCGCCAAAACAGGCCATGCAAGATTGAAATATATAGTAGTTGTTGTTGAATAGAAATTAGTGTTTTTGAATGAAATAGTATGGGAATAGCGTAATCTATGGAATCCGAAAACGAGACATTTAACTTAGAAGACTTACCGACGTTCTTAATATACGTTCTTGACAAAGTTGAATTGGTATGCCGTGAACAAACCACAGATTTAAGCAAACTGGAATCGCATTTGATTGTCGTTGATAAAGTCGTAGGTCTGCTCAGAGAGTTAAGCCTGCCAGGTGTTTACGCGATCCTCAAAACGAATGACTTAGAACATTTAAAGACACTTTCAGATGTGTTCACAGATATCCTTTCCGCAATGCAACAGCTTGTATCAACACTGTCTGTAACACCAGCAACAGTTGCAGAGAATGTTTGTGTAACTGACAGAAGAAACCCTGGGTAAGTTGGACGACCAAAATTTCGCATTAAATCTGAAGTTTTAGAAGACCTACGAAGATTTGGTTTTTCCTGGACAAAGATTGCTGTAATATTGGGTGTCTCAAGATGGACTATTTCAAGAAGAGTTAAGGACTATGGTTTTGAGGATATGTGTGGGTTTAGTCAGTTATCAAATGAAGAGCTTGACCGTCTCATCAGAAATTATATAGATCACCACGGAACAACATCTGGACAGACTTATATCATAGGCTACATAAAATCCCTAGGATACCATGTGCAGCGCAGCAGAATTAGGGAATGTCTAGCAAGGCTAGACCCACGAAATACTGCATTGAGGTGGGGTGTCACTGTCTCCCGCAGGGTCTACAGTGTACCTTGGCCAAATTCTCTTTGGCATTTGGACGGCCATCATTCACTCATAAGATGGAAACTGATTATTGATGGGTGCAACGACGGATTCTCTAGAAGAATAATGTTTCTTAAATGCAGTTCAAATAACTTAGCTGAGACTGTGTTAACATTATTTTTAGAGGCGATTGATAATGACAGCGGCTTATGGCCATCGAGAATTCGTGTAGACCGAGGTGTGGAAAACGTGTTAGTTTGTGAAGCTATGGTAATGGCGAGAGAAGGAAGGGACAGTTTTATTCCTGGTCCTTCCACACACAATCAAAGGATTGAGCGGCTCCGGAGGGATGTATATAGATGTGTCTGCCACATGTATTATTATGTTTTTTACGGCATGGAAATGTCTGGAATTCTTAACCCAGAAGATTCAATGCATCTGTTTGCTTTACATCTGGTCTATCTTCTAAGAATTAATCATGCCCTAGACGAATACAAAGAGGCATTTGACCCTCATGCGGTAAGGACAGAGAACAACTGGACTCCTTATCAGATGTGGCTTAATGGTATGATGCATGAAAGAAATCCTCTTGTCCATTCGCAGCTTCATGATAACCCGGATGATGTTGAATATTACGGGTATGATCCCCAAGGTCCATCACCCC